AAACATGTCACTTTTTACAATTAATATACACTCATATATATCTGAGTGTATATTAATATGAGTATAATTAATATGAATATATATATAGTAGCTCTTTTTTTCAATATTTTAAAGAGCATATCTGAAATAGGATTCTCCTGAATGTGTAATCCAAGAATTTTAATAATATGGTTCCACGTAGGTATTGCCAATTGTGTTAATTTTTCCATTCCTGGAACAAACATGAAATAACTTAGAATGTGAAAAACCAAGAACAGATATCAGTTTAAAGAAGTGCACTGATAACATTAAGAAACATTTAAATTGTATTTTGTATTTAATCACTTTACTGCTTTTCTCAAGTTAACTGGCTGTATCCATTTAATTATATAAAACTTAAGCCAGGAATATATAAGTATTAAATAATTTATAATTTAGCAGTGATTTTTTATTCTGATAACTTTGCATATACTTAATAACTCTTAGGAAAGTAAAATATAACATTGGCTTAGCATTAAATAATAACTTTAAAAACTTTTAGATAGGTTTGGTTATTCTATTGCAATAACTTCTAAAAACATAAAATTTTGGAGGGATTTCAAAAGCATTTGGAAATCCTCATCATTTATTAAACCTTTTAAAAATTACCTTTCCACAAAAGGTACACAGGATAGTTTTTAGTAGGTATTTGAGTGTTTCATTTAAATTTTAGTTTTAGTATTTCAGGTTTCTAAATTGAATTTTGTAACATTCTACCAATATAATATTGAGCGTGCTTTTCATTAGCTGTGTGAAAAATATTTCTATTTCTCAAATAGTATAAAATTACTTAAATCAAAATCCTAAAGTTTTCTTCCAATAATTACAAAATACAATTGTTCATTATAAAATATGCATTCACAAAAAATGTCAAGTAAATTTAAATTTAGGTGATGAATGTCACATGTCCAGTTTTATTTTGCTGGAATATAATTTACTAGTGTGTTTGAAATTAAAATGGAAAATGAAGGCAGGTATGGTAGCACACACCTACGATCCCAGCATTTTCAAGGCTAAGTTTGATTGAAGTCACTCTGAGCTATAGGTTGAGATCCCATCTCTCTTTCCCTTACACACACACACACACACACACACACACACACACACACACACATACACACATATCAAAATTAAACTGTAAAAGCCATAATGTAGAGTTTTATCATTTTAAGCAAATGGAACAACATGATTCCAGTTAATGTCATTAAAGTACTGGGCACAGAGTATCAGCACCATAAACAGCAAATGATAAAAACTTGAGTTTATGCTTGCAAGCATTACAGAATTTTCAGTTTATTTTGAGTAATTAACATGAAATGTCCATACCAGTGCACTAGGCAAGGCCTACAGATCTGATCATATCAACTGGAAAACAGAGGACACATTCTGCATTTTCCTAAACGTTCATTTTATTACAAAACATTTTATATAATCTTAGTTTTTCACTCAAATGATTTACAGGTATTCATGTTAAGAGCCCTGGCACACTATGCTATTGCTCTATTCTTAGTCTCAGTAGTCCAATAATCGCTCTCTCTCTTTCTCTCTCTCACACACACAATGAAAAACAAACAAACAAATAAACTTTTCTAGGAAACAGTTTTATATCTTCCCCAAATGCACGCCCTGAGACGTGCACGCCATGTCCTGAGACAAAGCTCTGGACATGATTGCTTCCCCACAGTCTCACAGTGACACTCTGCTACCGCCTCTGCTTTATCTCAGGGGAACTGGCTTGCAAGTATGAGATTAGAACATTCTAGTCAGGGTCTGTGTGTTTCCAGTTATACCTGCACAAAATCAAATTCCAAAGAACAAGTCATAATTTAAATTATTTAAGAGTGTCAGGTAATAGCTATGAATGAATACCTTATTAATAAGTGATCAGTCTTCATTCCTGCTTTCTTTACCTGTTTCATAAAGGTTCCATGGAGCTAGCTTGGGTGGCTAAGGTCTTCATTTCCTGAGATTCCTGAAGACTTATTTTTGTCACAGTCTGTGGACAGTACAGCAGGCGATACCATGTATCTTGTCACCAGAAAGTCACATACTCACTTTATGTTCTCCTGGACCAGCAATACTGCTTTAAGGTTATCGCTCACTAAGTACGGGAAATCTTAAAATGAAAATGATGCTTTTGATTTAGTATATTTGTATGTTCCTTAGATTAGTAAATCTCCACAAAACAGAAGACAAACATCACCATAAACTCATAAAACAAGACTGTTGTAAAATCAAATACTGTGATAATGAAGGGGTAAAGTGATTTTCCTTGGAAGAATGTAGAGCTATGCACAAAAAAAAAATCTCTTGGTCTCTTTCCTTGCAGGTCTCTCAGACAGCAGTCTGCACACTGCATAGTCTTTTGTACTGGGGTCAATTTAATAGTGATGGCTTCTCCACTCTTGTTCATGTTCATGGATACGCTTTGGGCTTTAGTATTTACAACAAAAATTACAATTTAATTTACTGTGAAAGCCCCCAGAACTGCAATTTTTTTCAAACAATACAAATGGAATTTCTCAGTGCATGCACTGTTAACAGCTCTGTAGCCATGGTAGCTATGGCCTTTTCTGGTCCATTCTCAGCTTCAGTGAACTCCAGAGAAAGATGCCACTTGATCAATTAGAAGATGTGTCATTTCCTGTATGTGATAAACAGTAACAAAGCAATGAATATGAAGTAGAAATGTTGAAGTGCATACCTCTGAGAAAAGAAAAACATTTAGATTAGTATTGTTTACTTTATATTATCATTTCTTTATATTCATAATATTGCATGTGCTGTATTAATACATTTTGATTTATAATTCATAAAAATTACATATATATGGTTTATGCATTTGCAATTTTGAAATTAGAATAAGGCTATTGTTCTTTCAGTTTGGAGACTAAGGCTTGAACTGACTATTATTACTGAGCTTGTATTTACTTATTTAAGACTTATTTATTTTATTTTACATATATGAGTATTTGTTTGCATGCTTGTCTGTGTGCCACTATCGTGCCGTGTTCGAGAGGGTAATGAATTCACCAGAATTAAAGTTAGATGGTTATGAGCCACCATTTCATTGGTGGGGATCTAACCCAGGTCTTTTACAAGAGTTAAAAGTGGTCTCTTTCCAGACAGATGAATTGGGATAGGAAAGGACACTGATCCATCTGTACAGCCCATATATTGGAACTTTGAAAAGACATATCATCACTGTGCAGTGGCCTAAATGTATTTTGGTGAGAGAATCAGGCTTTAACAATTGGGATGAATGCATTCCTTTACAGATTAAGAGTTTTTAGGAGCACAAATCACATAAACATAAAACATGTGATTTATCATGCTATATTCATGTAGGTATTATAGGATGGTCTCTTCCACTAATTTCTGCATTATTTCTGCACATAAATGCATTTACAAGTGAATTGAAAATACAGATGGGCACTGTTTCTCACAAGAATCTGGGTCAGTATAGTCATCTTCTATTTCTTTCTCAAAAAGTTCATTTTATACGACTGAATTTAATTCACGTAAGGATTCTGCTAACCAAGCCAAATAACTTACATAAGCAGCAAAGGTAAGACTGCCGAGTAAAACTGTAAAAATCTCTGGGTGCTAGTGATGTATGATAACACTTGGGAACTTATTTTCCACTGCATGGGAAGGAACAACTTTTAAACAAAAATTACCAAGTAGCATCAGTATATGGTCATCTTCAGCCAGTTCATGTTTGTCATAATGTGGTAAATAGTAGTTGCCTTAACATGCCACATTCTCTCTTGTTGGAGGCTTCTAGCTCAACATCTTCAACAATGATTGTGTTGCCTGCAGTAACGATGGAGACCATAAAAGCAAAATAGGACTATTGTCAGGATAGGGGTGCTGATGGGAGCAATAGAGAGCAGAAGAGCAGAATACAAGTATCTGTCTGATCAGGGAAATGGGAAAGACAGGGCCCCATAGTCTTGGAGGAGGAAGGAAAATACAAAAGGTGGGAGGAAGGAAAAGGTGAGTAGCAGGATACAATTTATTAGATAGTGAAAATGGGAAAATGGGTGAGTTCTTAGGTAAGAGTGAGAAGTGAAAATATAGAAGAAAGAGGAAGTTAGGTAAAATAAAAATATGGATGGCTGAAAAAAACCCATAAAGAATCATATGGTTAATAATTTACTTTTGATTATTTATTTCCCCCAAAGTAAAATATAGTGTTTGTCTTTACAGCTAGGAGTTAGTTCTTTAATGCTGAACTGGAGTTTAAAAGCCACAGGAACTGAACTGGAAACCATCTAGACCACTTAATAACCATAATGGCTCTACAATTAATAGGGTGTACACTAATGGTCTCCAACTATATTCTAGATCTTGAGCATTATAAAAGTTCATGGGAAAACATATAAAAGATGAACTGAGATACAGATTTTGCTGATTGAAATAGTGAGATTATCATGAATGGTCACTGTGATTCCATTAGAATTAGGAGTCAAAACATGGATAGTTGCAAAATAGAGCATATTAAATTATATAATAGAGACCGAGTCAGCTCATTTTTTTGGATTCTTTTAGTGATTCCCCCTCAGACTGACAAAGTTTTGCTCAGTTGTACAAATGCGATTGATAGTCTGTGCTAATCAGTACTGTTTTAGATGTTAACTATAAAATGAGGAAATTTAAATCAATAGGATTATATTTCTTAGGTATGAGACTCAGGTGTAATACACACACACTAATTGTGCATTTTGTTTTGATATTATTGTGAATGCATTTGTTATATATAACATGGTATATATACAGGAGATATGTGGAGGATATATGGAAATGTAAGCTGTGATGTACAGTCTGGGACATCAAAAGTTAAAGAGACAGGTTAATCAAGAATTAGTAGGGAAAATAGAACAATGATAGTGTCCATTGAATTATAAGTTTGATACATACTCTATTTTTTTCAGATATAAGAAATATTCCTCTACTATGCTCTTAAGGTATGAATACACTTCTCACTTATGTCCTCATTAAAAAATGTCCTTCATTTTCAAGCTGGGCTTGGAGTCCTAGCCAACATGCTTCTCCTTTTTTTCTATACTTTCATAATCCTAGGTCACAGACCTAAGCCCACAGACCTGATGTCTTGTCAACTGTCCTTCGTTCACATAATGATGACCATTACTGGAGGGGATATTTGGCTTATAGACATATTTGAGTCACTGAACATTGAGGATGACCTCAAATGTAAGGCAACTTTTTACACAATCAGGGTGCTGAGAGGCCTCTCTATCTGCATCACCTGCCTCCTGAGTGTGTTCCAGGCTGTCACTATCAGTCCCAGTAACTCCTTGTTGGCAAAATTTAAACCTAAGCTAAAAGAACACATGATCCGTTCTTTCTTCTGTATTTGGTCTTTCAATTTGTCCTTCAGTAGTACCCTAATATTCTATGTTGGTGCTTATACCAACATGAATGCAACCAACCAGATGAAGGTCACTAAATACTGCTCACTGTTCCCCATGAATTACATCATCAGAGGATTGATTCTCACAGTGATAACCTACAGAGATGTGTTTCTTGTAGGAGTCATGCTGACCACAAGTGCATACATGGTGATTATCCTGTTCAGACATCAGAGGCAATACAAGCATCTTCATAGCATCAGCCACCTGAGAGTGTCCCCTGAGAAAAGGGCCACCCAGACCATCTTGCTTCTGGTGGTTTTCTTTGTGATCATATACTGGGTGGACTTCATCATCTCAACTACCTCATTCCAATTATGGAAGTATGACCCATTCATCCTGACTGTTCAGAAGTTTGTGATAAATGCCTATCCCACCATAACTCCTTTGGTACAAATCAGTTCTGATAAGAGACTAATCGATGTGCTTAAAATCTTGCGATCTAAAGGCCAGCAGATGTTTTAAAAAACATACTTTTTCTCTTTTTTAAAAAAGGTGTTCATTCTGTTTGCCCATTTGAATGAGGTTTCAGCCTCTTTGCTAAGGTCCCCCGGGTTGTTTAGCTTTCTCAGGACTATAGATTTTAGTATGTTTATAATATATTATATGGCTAATATCCACTTACAAGTGAGTATAAACTATATGTGTCTTTCTGCTTCTGGGATAGCTCACTCAAGATGATCCTTCTAGTTCCCACCATTTGCCTGCAAATTTTGAGATTTCCTTGTTTTTAATTGCTTAGTTGTATTCCAGAAGGGAAAACAGAATAGACATTGGCAGTAGGAGAAGACAAAGAACAGAACAGAAGGCTTCTACAGGGGGCATCTGGAAGATTCTATCCACCAGGATATTGGAGATACTGAAACTCAGAGCCAAACTTTGGGCAGAATGCAGGGAATTTTCTAAAAGAAGGGGATATAGAAAGACCTGGAGAAGACAGGAGCTCCACAAAGAGACCAACAGAGCCAAAAACCTGGGCCCAAGGCATCCTGCAAAGACTGATACTCTAACCAAGGACCATGCATGGATATGACCCGGAACGCCTGCTCAGAGGAAGCCCATAGGGTGTTCATTTTCTAAGTGGGTTCCTAGTAAGGGGAGCGAGGGCTGTCTCTGACATGAACTTAGTGGCTGGTTCTTTGATCACCTCCCCCTAGAGGGTGCAGCACTGCTAGGCCACAGAGGAAGATGATGCAGCCCTGATAAGCTACGGTCAGATAGAAGGGGAGGAAGATCTTCCCTATCAGTAGGTTAGGGAAGGGGCATAGAAAGAGAAGAGGGAAGGTGGGTGGGAGTGGGAGAAGATGAGGAAGGGGGCCACAGCTGGGATACAAAGTAAATAAATTGTAATAAATAAATTAAAAATAATTTAAAAGTTATTCATTAACTTCTATTTATATGTACAAGTGCTGTTATTAGTTGGGTTGGTATTTACCTTTTTTTTCCCCTTAGGTAGTATGTTTATAATAATAAGGGTCTGTATGATTAGATTTAAGCTGAAAGTAATGTCAGGACTGGAAAGCATAAGAAATTTTGGAAAAAAAAATGACCAGGGTCTTTGTTGAGGAAGCTATTATCACAAGTCATATTATAGCTTATTTGATTAACAACAGTGGAGAATTTAGGTTTAGGAAGAAAGTGGGGTGCAGCATGTTGAGATGAAATTACGGGGCTATTTTGAGCTATGGCTTTGGCTATTTTGAGCTACAGTCCACCCTGGCCTGTCTGTTGGAGTGATGCAGCTGGAAGAAGTTTTGGGCCCCGTGGCCGTGGAGGTGGGGGAGGGGGTTGCAGAAGGAGTGGTCCCAGTAGCCCTACATGGGCTAATGGGAAAAACAGTCTCTCTGGCCCAGGCATGCGCTTAAGGAAGCTGTAGTTCCTGGAAGGACGGGAGTGACCACATGTTGAGGAGTGTTGGAGAAGCTGGTGTGCTAGTACAGCAGCATCGAGGCCTCTCTGCCAGGCCAGGGTGGACTCTTCAGAGTAGGCAGGACTGACATGGACTGAGTGTGGCCTTGTGCAGTGGGTAAGGAGGAAAGGGGTTACTGGGAAAAGGAGGGGGTTTACAAGAGCCAGAGTCAAGTGGAGGACATAGCAGGTTGAAGAATCAGAGTGTAGAATTTGGAATCAAATTCACAGACAAATGAGCTGTTCATACTTTAGGAAAGTTAGATTAGCAGCTTGGTTTAGAGCAGCCATTGTCTCTGATGACTGTGTTGTGGTGAAGAAGGGGGAGGGGAGGTGGGGCTCAGCTAAAGGAGACTCAGGTTTACTGTCCAAATCCTTGGAGGCAATGGGGTCTTTCAGAGTGACCACCCTTGCTATTAGGACCTGACCTGTAGAACGGTGGCTACAGAGGGAGGGACGAGAGCACGGTTCCCAAAAACCCTGGACAGAAGGTAATTCAGACCACTTGATCATATATGCCAATAGAAAAGTTTAAGATCATGAGGACATTAAAGTTAAGAGAGCCCTCTGGTGGCCATTTAGACTAGTTACTCTAGGCAGGTAACAGATCAAATTCATTTTGGGCTCAAAGTCTGTGGCAGTCCCAATTGGGAAACATTTCATAACACACACCCCAAGAGTGACTGAGAATCAAGTTTAGACCCAGCATCGCTCATTTCCAAGCCTGTTCCGGAAACACAAACACTATGATACCTGGAGTCAAACAGTCGGGAATGGGGTAGCATTGAAATGGCTATCTCGTAATCCAAAAGTTCCCCTGAACAAAGATTGTCTTTGTTCTTGCATGGATGGGCTTTCTTGGCCTGGTGGAACCTTGGGAAAATAATCTGTGGACCCTGGGTCTGGAAGAGGCATCCTGTACCTCTTTGGCTGTGGCTGGGAAATGGCAACTCACCCCTAGTCAATGTCAATGGGTTAGGGACAGAGGGAGAGTGTGTGGTTCCCATGGGACTCGGGCCCAGCCTACTGTGCTTGAGGCTCACCTCTTCCCGGGTTACAGCACCAAGAGAACAGGCATTGTCTCTCCCTTGGTGATACAGATCCAGGCCGGCTTAGACCAGATTAAATGTAGATAAAGGCAGGTTTATTAGGAGGCAGTTCTCAGGCAGGTTCACTTATCTCACAGCTAGAGGTCAGTGAATTCTTGTACCTGGGCTAAAAGCAAGGGACTTTTATAAAGAAAAGGTGAGGAAGGATGACTGTCAGCTAGGAGATGGGATTGTGCCTATATATGGTCAAAAACTGAGCCCTTGGGCAGGAAGTCTTGGGTGAGTTGCTAGAAACACAGAAACTAGGAGTGATGGTAGTTAGCCCAGAGTTTTCTCTGTGCAGGCAGGAAAACAAGGTTTCTTGGCTTGTTCAGGCAAGAGCAGGGATTCCAGCCAAACTCTTTCCTCCCCAACTTGCTTTTTGCTCGTGGTGTTTTGTCACAGCTATAGAAATCCTAACTAAGACAAGCCCTCTACAGGGTGTGCAGTTGTAAAAATCTTTTCCCATTCTGTAGCTGTGATTTGTCTGAATAATGGTGTCTTTTGTCATAGAGAAGATTTTTAGATCACAAGGTCCTAATCATTAATTTTTGTTCTTAGTTTCTGTGCAATCAGTGTTCTGTTTAGAAAGTTTCATAAGATTCCTTGAATCACTGAAGGAAGACACCAGACTCAAATGATATGCAAAAGCACAAAACACTTACTCTGCAGAAAGAGCCAGCATACAGGGTCAACCACTCAAACAAAAGACCATGATGGAAGCTCCCAATCTCTTTCTAAGGCAAGTTGGGGGATTCCTAGCCATGGTCATCTGACGTTTGCTAGGATTGGTTGGCCTCATGATAAGGGGTACTTGTATATTCCTGGTTGGTTCAGATCTTGGGGACAAAAGGGTAACCTCATATCTAGTTTAGCCCCAGGCCAGATGTCAGGGCAGTCACTGACTGGCTGCCCATCTCCTGTGGAATTTTTTCAGGAACTCCTCAAGCAGTAAAGGGAGAAGGGTGGCAAAAACTTTGGCCTGGCTTTGGAACTAGAAAAGATCATCTTGAGTGAGGTAACCGAGAAGCAGAAAGACACACATGATATATACTCACTTATAAGTGGATATTAGACATATAATACAGGATAATCATACTAAAATCTGTATACCTAAGGAAGCTAAGCAAGAAGGAGGCCCTGGGTAAGATGCTCAATCCTCATTCAGAATGGCAAATAGGATAGACTTTGGAAAAAGGAGAAAACGGGGAATAGGACAGCATCCTACCACAGAAAGTCTCTGAAAGACTCTAACCATCAGGATATTGAAGGAGATTCTGAGACTCATAGTGAAAACTTTGGGCAGAGTGCAGGGAATCTTATGAAAGAAGGGGAGATAGAAAGACCTGGAGGAGACTGGAGCTTCACAAGGAGAGCAACAGAACCAAAAGGCCCAAGGGTGTTTTCTGAGACTGATACTCTAACCAAGGACCATGCATGGAGATAATCTAGAACCCCTGCACAGAAGTAGCCCATAGCAACTCAGTGTCCAAGTGGGCATCCTAGTAAGGGGAACAGGGGCTGTCTCTGACATGAACTCAGTGGCTGGTTCTTGGATCACCTCCCCCTGCGGGGTGAGCAGCCTTACCAGGACACAGAGGAAGACAATGCAGTCAGTCCTGATGATACCTAATAGACTAGGGTCAGATGAACGGGGAAGAGGACCTCCCCTATCAGTAGGCTGGCGGAGGGAGAGGGGAGGAAAAGAGGGAGGGAGATGAGGGAGGAGCCTACAGCTAGGATAAAAAGTGAATAAATTGTGATAAATAAAAATAAAAAATTTAAAAAAGCTGGAAAAAATAAAAAAAAAACAAAAACCTTGCTTATATCTGTATTTTGCACTGCTTCCCTTACTTTTTCCTTTAATAGTTTCACAGAGTCCATTCTTTAGACACATGGGATTAATTTTTATGCAGGGTGAAAGACAGGGCTACAGATTAATTATCTCATACATTGATATAAAATTTCCAGCACAGTTTGGTGAAGAGGCCAACTCTTCTCTAGTGTGTATTGTTGGCATCTTTGTCAACACTCAGTGCTTGCAGCTTACTGACTGTATGTCTGTATCCTCTGTTCTATTCCTTTGTTTCCTTGTGTCTGGTTTGGTGCCAGTACTGTGGTGTTTTTCCTACTGTTGTCCCTGTCATACAGTTAGAAATGAAGTATTATGATACCTCCTGTAATGTTCAATGTGTGTAAAATAAATAACTACTTTATCCTCTATACTATGAGTCTGAATAAAATTGTCAACAATAAAATGTTATTAACAATAACAATAAAATAAATATTGTCAATAAAATAAACAATAAAATAAAATACTGTCCCAATAAACAAGGGCAAGACTAGGAGGAGATGAGGGAGGAGCCTACAGCTAGGATAAAAAGTGAGTGAATAAATTGTAATAAATAAAAATAAAAAAATTAAAAAAGCTGAAAAAAAGAAAAAAAAGAAAGCCCTTGCTTATGTCTA